TTCCACTACGACAACTACTACCACTGTTGCCATTCCGCCTCTACCACTATTATTACTACTACCATCACCACCACTCCACTACCACCATTACTACTACAATTACCTCTCATCCACCACCACTACTCTATCTCCTCTACCACTACCACTACCACTACCACAACTTCATTACTAATCTTATTCGATATCACCACCACCTTCACCACTACTGCCGTTCCCTATCTTCTACCATAAAAAATTAGTTCCTGATTTTTAGTAACCCCCAATCTCCCCCACTTGGCCCGTCATTTTTTTTCCATTCCCGTTCGGGTTACCAAAAACCCCCAATCCTGTCTCTTTGTCTCTATCTCTCTTCACTTTCTCTCTCTCACTCATCACTCTTCTTTGTCTGTCTATCTCTCTCTTTCTCTCCATGTCTCTGTCTCTCTTCTCTTTCTCTCTCTCACTCATCACTCTTCTCTGTCTGTCTCTCTGTTTCTCTTTCTCTCTGTGTCTCTTGTCCATCTCTCTCTGTCTTTCTCTCGTTTATATCTTTTCGCTCTTTGTCTTTATTTTTCTTTGTCTATCTCTTTTCACCAATTTTTTCATCTTCCTCTCTCTCTTCTCTTTCTCTTTATTGCTCATTATTTTCCTCTCTCTGTCTGTCTCTCTCCCCCTCTCTCTCTATGTCTCTCACTCATCTATCTCTTCTCTCATATATTTTCTCTCTTTATCTCTATTTCTCTTACTCATCTCTCTTCTCTCTGTCTCTCTCGCTCATCTTTCTTCTCTCTCTGTCTCTCTCTTTTTCTATGTCTTTCTCTCGATCATCTCTTTTCACTCCCTTTATCTCTCTTTGTCTATCTCTCACTCATCTCTTTTTTCTCTCTTTTTCTTTCTGTCTGTCTGTCTCTCTATATCTCTTTCTCTCTCTGTCTCTATTACCTCTTTTCCAACACCGTCACTCCATCTCCTCAACCACTACCACAACTTCACCACTAATGTCTTTTGCCATCACCACCACCACTACCACCACCATCACCTCTTATCCACCACCTTCACTGTTATTGCCGCTCCCTCTTCTCTACCACAAAAAATTAGCTCTTGATTTTTAACAACAAAAAAAATGGGTCACAAAAAAATATTTTTTATTAACCATAAAAAATTAATTTTATTTTAACAAACAATATTTTTTTATTAAAATATTACCCCTACTTCTACCAAATAAAAAAATTCATTAAAATAAAAATAAAACAAATTTCCCTCTTTTTTCACTGACTCACTGGATGGCCCGCCCAAACTTTCCCCCATTTTTTTCCCTCTGCCTTTCTGCCCCTTTTTTCATTTCCTTTTAGTTTTGTAGAGCCCCTAATTTCACAACACTGTTTCAAAACAGTGAGCAAACCTTAATCTGAGTGAGAAAAGATAGAGGGTTTGAAGACAGACTGGGGTTGAAGGGGAAGGGTTTCAATCGACGGCGAGACTGGTTCAGTAGCGGCGAGACTAGTTCGGCGGTGAGACGGTACGCTTCTTTTGACTCTTCTTTCAACTCTCTCATTCCAGTCGGTTCCTCTATCGACTAGGTTGAAATGGTTCCTCATATCTCTATGTTGCCCCCACCGCCATAGCCATGGTAGCTTATTAGTGGTGGTGGTTGTTTTCTGCGAGCATCGATAATGTCGCAGACGCGGCAGCAAGAGGACTCCAAGGGTCGTTCGCCATAGCCATACAAACTCCAACCTTCACTTTATAATAGTATAGATGATTTTGTCTTAGAAAATACATTGTTTAAACTGAAAAATATGTTTTGAATCCACCACTCTTTTTGGTATGTTTGCTACTTGACCTCATTTTGCTATTGAATTGTTTGGTCATTTGCATTTTTTAAGTTTTTGGAGAAAAAAAAAATGGTAGAAGTAGAGTTAGAAAACATCTATCATTTTCATATTGTTTTTAGTTTGACACAATTTTGAAAAATTTACAAAATGAGAATTTTTTTTAAAATTTTTTTAGGTCGTTATTAATTTCCAACATTTTGCACACTTTTTTGAAATTTTATTAGGTCTTTATTAATTTCCAAAACACCTTTAGGTGAAGAAATTGATAGGTCCTCAATAAAGATATCATGAGAAAATATAGAGTAATCCTTATGACATTGATATAAGATTGTATGTTAGTTGAATTGTAAGTTATTCAAATTTGATTTGAAAACTTAACTAGTTTCAAAATATGTTTGAGGGTGGCTTGTTTACCTTCCTAGTTGAACTCAAATGAGCTTTTCTAGATGCTTTTGAGAAGGTTTGAACATGAAAAGCAAAAGTTGCAAGCTATTATACAGACCACTAAGCATTCATTTCCACTCACAAATTCAGCTGCTTGCTGCATTTTCTCCACTGATGTATTGTGTAGAAGGTCTGGCTTTGATAGTTGGCAGGGCACTATTCCTATAATTGACAACACAAGTGTTTTCTTGGATATGGAGCTACTTCAAGAGCTGTCACAGATTGTTTTGGTTGATGCAGAAGAATTGCAACTGGTATGATCACTTATTCCCATTTATTTGTTGATTTGTCTAGTTGCACTGAAATCATCTAATACATCTCTGCTCACAATTTTCTTGAGTAAGCTATAATAGCAATGTGTATTCAGTGTATGATTCCTTAACTTGATGGTTTTCCTAGAGTAGACATGTGCTTTGCATCAAACTATATGTGGTTACTTTGCTGATGGTACTGGTTTACTTTTGGAGGAAAATGGTATTACATTTTTAATTCAAATTTGTTTCAGTACCTGATCTTTTTTCTAATGTAGAGGTTTTTAAATTTTGGTTTTTGGAAATTTTTATATGCTTCCCAGGTGAATATGATGTAATATTTTTGTAACTTGCTAATTTGTTTGGCTAGAATTGCAAAAAAGGGGAAAAGAAATCTAAGATAAATATTGTTTGCACTGCACTTTTTGATACGTTACAATTACATGCTGATCATGAGATGTCAAAGGTAGTTGGGTGAGAGGTCACAGCTGAATAAGCCTTGATACATTGCAAAAAAGGGGAAAAGAAATCTAAGGTAGCTATTGTTTGTAATGCATTTTTTGATAAATTACAATTACATCTTGATCATGAGATGTCAAAGATAGTTGGGTGAGAGGTCACAGCTGAATAAGCCTTGATATAGCAGAATCAGAATACAATATAATAATTATTATTATTAAATTTTTTTGTTTTTGTTTTTGATAATGTTACAGCAGAATTTTAGGGGAGAGACCTAATCCCTCTGAATTAATATTGATAAAGAAATGCACCTGAACTATTTTTTAGGGATATTTCTTGTAATTAACTTTCTTCAGTGAGTAGGATTCACCTTGAAGTTCCACTCATATTTGAGACCAAAAAAGAAGAAGAGTAGGCAAAGCTCTAAACCCATATTCAAATCTATCTTCTTACTCTCTTCAGCCAATTCCACTTTATGGTTGATTCATGTATTTGGTAAGAACACATTAGACCTTGATTTGATCATATTGTTATTGTTGATTTTGGGTCATTAATATCTCGATTTGTTCTTTTGTTGAGTTATTCTTTGGTTTTCACATTTTATATGCAATATCTAATGTTATCCACTATTGGGTGTTTGTAATTTATTAGTAGTTTGTGAAATTGCTTCGTGGGTATTGAATATTTGTCTTTTTTGGGTACTGTTGTGATGTGGGTATGTGATAATTTATCATGATTGCTAAAATTTTGTAATGTCAACAGAGGAGATTTATTGTCTTTATCAGAAGGGTGTATTGAAATGCATGGTTTTATTGATGATTTGTAGAAAGATTTCAACAGTAATGTTGGTTAGATCTCTTTTTATTTTGAAAGTAGATCTTTGTAGTTTTCTTGTTTTAGGATGCTTTATGCTGATGGAGTATAGACAACTTGAATGCAATGCGCTAGGGATGGCAATAAAAACCATACCCAATGGTTATCCATGGAGACCCTACCCAAAATATGTGGGTTTTCCCAATTTCTCTATGCATCAGGTCAGTAGGTGATCTAATTTAATTCTCCATCGGGGAATGGGTCGGGGATGGGTAGTCCCCAAAAAATTGTCTCTTGACATGTATACTCTATATATATATGTGCATATATGCATTTATATACCGTCCTACCAATAACTCCACAGTTGTTCCATATTGTAATCTAGATGAACTAAGTTTAAATATTATAGTGTCATATTGGTTATTTACAGACCTGCAACTGAGATGGGCCTTGGACAATGCCCCTTTTTTGAATTTGGAAAAAAGAGAGGGGGAAGAAAATAAAAGAAAGAAAAAGAATGTGGTTGACTTTTCCAACTAAAATTGCTCACAGAAGAAATACATTTATTGACTGGAATAGCTTGTAATTCATTTATTGACTTTTCCAACTAAAATTCCCCACGATTTCAATGTGGATTGCAATTCATTCAAGCCTGCTGCCTCTTTCACTTGATTTATATTCAATTTATGTTTGACTGAAGGGCTTTCCATAGTTGTACAGCTTTTGTGCTACATCTGTTTTGGTTGTGTTGGCTTAGCTCCTACTTTTCCGGTCTCCTGTTTCATAATTTAATTGAGGTTCACTCTGCCATTCCAGCCTCTTTTTTGTTTCAAATTGAAGTTGTTTACGGGTTGTTGTTTGCAATATTGTAAGTAAAGGAATATGCTAACCTTGAAAATATGCCATTCCAACCTCTTTTTTGCTTCAAGCCTGTTGTACACGGGATATAAATATCTTAAATTTTTTGTTCCTATTGCATTCCTTGCTTTCACAGTCTTGGTGCCAGTTAATTATACCAATGGATCTTTGCAGCATTCTAATTTAACTTACAACAACATAGATAAGTTTTCTATCTCAAACATTCCAATTGGATCACATAGGTAAGCAAGACTCTATGCTAAATTTTCCATAAATTTTAAGTTACTTTTTTCTTTTGCCATAAATATACTAAATTGGTTTGGTTTGGTTTGGTTTGGAATACTTGAGATCGATAGAAAGGGTGTTTGCTGCACGTTGTCTTTAACTGAATGGAATGAAATCACTTTGATTGAGGAGCTTTCTTTCCTAGTGAAATAGGATGCAGGTGTAACATGCAGTGTTGCAATTCAACCTTGTCGTGGTTGATACTGGCTAGATCTTATTGTTGCCTCTCATTGCTTGCCATATAAGAGTGAATGATGATGTCTCTAAGCTCCAGCATTATGATAATGTCTACAAGATCAGAAGTGCATGCTTAGTGACTTTTGATGATCTATAGAGCTCTTTTCTCACTATTTCCTATTTTTTTGTCCATCAATTGCTACAAGGTGCATACTGTAGTTTCCTTCTCTTTCACTTTACTAGATCTTAAACTTTTGTTTCAGTTCCTCATTCTCTTATTGATGAATATACTTAAGCAGGTTATTACTTTATTGGTTTACATTGCTGAATTATTGACTAAATATATTTCAAAAGCTTTCAAGCACTGTTCCAATATCGACATATATATTAATGAAATCGGATCTGTGTTTACATTATATATCAAGATTCTTTTGGTTTCTCTTGATAGAATTATTAGTTATCTAGTAAATGAACTAATAACATGTAAACGTCTAGCTAACATGGACCTTTTGCCTTGCTGTAGTTAGTTCTTTCTTGGCACATGAAGGCTGCCACCATGTGTGAATTTTCCAAGCAGGAGTTCATTGGTGGTTTACAAGCTCTTGGGTAATTTTTTGTTGAGTTGTATTCACTGGTTATTCTTAATCAACAAAACCAGCCTTGAACCATTATGATGTCAACTTCACAAAGTTTTTATTTTTTGATATCAGGATAGATTCACTAGAGAAATTCTGTGACAGGATACAATTTATGCATTTTGAGCTGAAAGATGAGCGGATGTAAATGTGACATTGTTTTTCCTTCATTAGTTGCTACTTGCTAGTAGTTATAAGTTATAACTCATGATTTTTCTATTTTTTCATATGTCATGTTGCTCATCACAAAGTCAGTTCAAATGCTGTCTTGATGTTGAACTTGAGCCCTCTATGAGGAGATTGATTTTATGAACTTTAGAATTTCCACTATTTTGTTACTGAACTAATCTTCCATATGGTTGCCTAGAAAAGTTCTGTGAGATCTATGACTTTGCTTTTGGCTGGGCAAAGGAGAAGGTATGTGTAATAAGCATAAAGACTTGGATTTACATTTCTCATTATTGGTTTTCGGTCGTACTGTCAAAGTTCCTACAAGATATATCAACCTTGGCATAATTTCCCATGAGGTGGTATGCCATGTTCTATTGATGATATACCCTTGTAATGATGCCCGCCTTTTCTGTTCGTATTGTCTTGGTGGATAGTTTTTTATTAATGACAATTAATTTGACTCGGAAGTATATGCTGGCATATGTGTTAATGCAATTAATAGACATTAGTTCTCAGACATGACCCATGTATCTAGAGCGAGAGTGAGAGCGGACAAAATAGATATATATATAAGGAAAATGCTAATGACGGCTCATTGGGTGGTCATTAGTTTTGATATAGGTGTAAAAAGTGTATTGAAAAAGCGTATAAAAATATGTAAAAATTTGTGAAAATATATGAAAAGTGCATTGAAATTCTAACTATAATGGCATTTTCTTCACCTTAATGACAGCCCATAGCATGACCCCATATATAAAGGACAGGATTGAGAATAAAAATTACTAGGTAGCTTTAGAGTTGATCAGGGTATGGGTTTAATTAGAAAAACATTTTTATTTTATGACAACCCAAACACAGTCATATTGTCCAGTCATTGTTTTGCTTACAAGTCTATTGGAAGTGGTTTCAGTTTTGTTTTTGTATGGTCCAGATCATCGGTGTTCCCCACTAGCTGCATCAGAGTTGGTCAAATGTTTAAAACCCTCGTGGAAAAACACATTTTAACTCTACCTTGAAGTAGAAACCTCTAAAAAAATAGTTGAGGTCTTTAGTTATAATGTGGGAGAAGCATGTGAGGCAGCACTAGAGGATTAAATCCATGAGTTGAAGTAATTTTGTTTTGCGATTTTGGCTTAGTCTAATCACATAATTGACAGTGTTTTTTACTATAATGTAAAGCGTCAAATGCATGGATTGGTGGGCTATGGCCCCCCCAAACTCATCAGATTAGGTCCTCAAAGGACATGACTGCAATTAGTTTCTTCTTTCTATTTGCAAATGAAAATCATAATCGGTTCTCCGAAGAGAAATTGGAAATGGATGCTTTTTCTGGTGATGTCAAATAGATATTTCATATTTTGCAACTTTGGGATATGTGGAATACTCTACAGTTGTTGATTTTCTTTGTCAATCACAGGGTCAGAAATCTTTGGCATTGGATACTGCAATCGGGATGTGGCAGTTGCTTTTTGAAAAAAAGCAGTGGCCATTGGTTGATCACTGGTGCCAGTTCTTGCAGGTAGCCTAATGGAACATATATTTGGCAATTTTTAAAAATTTTCTACAAATTTGCATGGGAGCTAGTGAATTATCCTAACTTGTGATGTGTATTCGGTAATCATTAATTCATATATTCCCTGAGTATTTCCTGATTTTTGTTAATATTGTGATGCTGGATGGAAGAGAAAATTGAAACCAAAAGAAAAAGAAAAGAAAATAACGAAACTGAACAATAGCAATTCTCCAAGCTCAATCTTATTCTTCAATATAATTCAAGTATGACAAATTCATTACATAGAAGCCTATTTATAGGCATCCTACGAAACCTTAATTGAAGTTTCTAAAAATACTCATTACGATAGGATTTACAATATGAAAATCCTAATTTAATAAATGAAACCCAATAAATCATATATAAGAAAATAATACTAAAGTAAATCCATAATCTTCAATTTATGCTCATCCAATGTCTTCATGTTCCTCGTCACATTGGTCTATTGATGTCATACAAATTGGCCACCCATTAGCTCTATAAGAAGGTTTGGGGTTGTTGGAGTGGGGAAAGGTTCTAGTTTTCTCCCTTCATGTTGAGTTTCCGTTACTGGAGAGACAAGCTCTCCTGGAGGGGCTATGGCTACAGAAGTGTGATATGTCCAGCATGAACTTCCAAGCAAAAGCTTTGAATTTTAGCCCAAACAACTACATATGAGTTGGCAAATTTATGAATCCTGATAAAGCGAAAGTGTGTGATGCACCAGGCTAATGATGTTAGTGACTATGCTTGATTATAACGGCTTCCTTTTGCATAGAGATACGAAAGGTATGGAAATCTTATGGTATAATTTTTAAGGGGAAAAAATCATGATTTAGTTCATTGCTCGCTGTTTCTTCATGTTTTATTAATAGTGTTTTTAACAAAATTTTTGTATGGTTACTCGCTCTTTTCTCGGTTGCTAAGAAACTTGTCATGATTTCCAATAGGGTATTATTTACTTTATTATGTTTGTGAATTTGTTCATATTGAGTTGCTGAAGTTTGGTTAAAATTACCAGTGGAACTCCCTAGAATCTGCCTTCATTTGACTTTTTCAGATTTCCATCTAACATTTATGTCAAATTTTCTGGTTTGGTTGGAACTCAATTCGTAGACAGACATGCATGAAATGGGTAACTTGATCAAAATATTTTTAATCACACTTAAAAGGTGTGATCTAAATATTTTTAATCACACTTAAAAGATGTGATCAAAATATTTTTAATCACACTTAAAAGGTGTGATCTAAATATTTTTAATCACACTTAAAAGATGTGATCAAAATATTTTTAATCACACTTAAAAGGTGTGATCTAAATATTTTTAATCACACTTAAAAGATGTGATCAAAATATTTTTAATCACACTTAAAAGGTGTGATCTAAATATTTTTAATCACACTTAAAAGATGTGATCAAAATATTTTTAATCACACTTAAAAGGTGTGATCTAAATATTTTTAATCACACTTAAAAGATGTGATCAAAATATTTTTAATCACACTTAAAAGGTGTGATCTAAATATTTTTAATCACACTTAAAAGATGTGATCAAAATATTTTTAATCACACTTAAAAGGTGTGATCTAAATATTTTTAATCACACTTAAAAGATGTGATCAAAATATTTTTAATCACACTTAAAAGGTGTGATCTAAATATTTTTAATCACACTTAAAAGATGTGATCAAAATATTTTTAATCACACTTAAAAGGTGTGATCTAAATATTTTTAATCACACTTAAAAGATGTGATCAAAATATTTTTAATCACACTTAAAAGGTGTGATCTAAATATTTTTAATCACATTTAAAAAGTGTGATCTAAATGTTATTAAGCACACTTAAAAAGTGTGATTAAAAATGACCCATTTTAATCACACTCCCAAAGATCACACTTTAATAAAACTTAAAAGGTGTGATTAAATAACAACAAAAAAGTGTGATCTTTATCTATTTTTGTAGTAGTGAGGGATGATAAAAATGAGAGATTAAATAATTGAGAAGTGTGCGTTGAGAGAAAAGTAAGAAAAGGGTTTTGAGAGAAAAACTGAGCCTGAGGGCCGAGTGATGTGAGGAATATATGTGAGATAGGGTGGGGAACATTACCTATAGTAGTAGTGGACTCCGTGCCAATCTAGTCCTCTCCCGGCGATGAAAAGCGTTCAAACCTATCAATGTCTCAGCTAGTGTCATGGCGATACAGCTTTTGCCTTATTTCAAGCCCTTGGCAACCTTAATCAAGTGAGTGTTAAACCCACCAGAGCCTGGGGCAAGCAAGAAATGAGACAACATGCACAAGCAAAGCGCATGACGCCAATAACCCTGCCAATGATGATCACTGCGGTCACTGGCATCAGAAAACCGATGAATCAAGCTCGAGATGTCCATCTCTTTGTCGTGAATCAATGACCGAGCGTCAATCAAAGTAAGGCCGCACATCCGTCCTAAGGCTTGGATGTAGCCAAAGCGGAATTGAGGCAAGATTTCCTCTTCGCGCTTAGATTCCATTAAAGCTTGGAAGTCTTCAAAAGTGGGGCAAATCTCTTGTCTGCCAAAGCTAAAGACGTGTGTCATCGAATTCCAAAACCTTACCGAGGCATGAAGGACGGAAAACGCAGCGGGGTGCAACTCAACGTAATAGTGCATTTATGCCAAAGTCCCAAAAATTCATCTTTTCCGAGCCATCTAAGTTGGCAATCCAATTTGTGAGATTTTGGACAAGAAATGCTTCCATTTGGTGCAAAACTGAGCTGAAATGAAGAGAATCCCGAAACTGGAATTCATATAGAAGATAAGGTAGTGAGTGGAGGACAGATGTCGACGTTTCGGAGGTTCTGCCATCGATGGCCAGCAGTGCCTCATTGATGGCCGGTAGTGGTTCATCAGTGGCCGGTAGTGGCACACTGATGGCCGGCAGGCTTTCCGCTATGGCCGGCAGCCTCTCCCTCATGCTCACTAACCTTCTTGGTGAAAATCCAGTTGTTTGCTGCAGAGGAGTCCTGTTATTCGTTTCTTTTAAGTTTTTTTTTTTTTTTTTTTTTTTGTCCTGTTGGACTCTGTTGTCTCGTTGAAAACATATTAGTTTTCATTTTTGTATCGAGTTGTAATCATCTTCCTCTCATTTATCTAGTTGTTATAGCTTGCTTATCGAATTGTAAACTTGTTAAGGCCTTGTTTTGCTTATCGAGTAGTTTTGTTGTTAGTCGGTTCACTACCTGATTAATGCAATTCAAGTTTTTAGTTTTCAAAACAAAGTTCAATCTCATTTACATTGTTGTGTAAAGTGATGCGATGCATAGAATGTACAAATGTAACACTTTTTCAACAAAAAGAGCTGTTTCATTCCATCATATTTTCTTTTGTAAAAGTACATAGTTTTGA